AAATACATATTCACACATCGTTTACCGTAACGGGAGACTCAGTGTTAGCAGCTTAACAGAGACGGACCATCTGGCACTGAGCGACTTAACGGAGGGTGTGGTGTGTTGTGTGGTGTTGTGTTGGTGTGGTGTGTGGTGTGTGTGGTGTGGGGTGTGTGGTGTTGTGTTGGTGTGGGGTGTGTGGTGTTGTGTTGGTGTGGTGTGTGTTAGTGTGTGTGGTGTTGTGTTGTGTTGTGTTGGTGTGTGTGGTGTGTGTGGTGTGTGTGTGGTGTAGTGTTGTGTTGTGTTGTGTTAGTGTGGTGTGTGGTGTGTGTGGTGTGGTGTGTTGGTGTGGTGTTGTGTTGGTGTGGTGTGTGGTGTGTGTGGTGTGGTGTAGTGTAGTGTCGTGTAGATTTTAGGAAAAAATTCGATGTTTAAGATGGAAGCTTTAAACGAGGTATTTTCTAAGTTATTTATTTTCATTTTGATAATTTCTCAAGTTTCAAAATTGACTTCATTAATATAAAACTTTTTAAATCCTAATTTTCTATATATAGTAAAAATTGGTTTTCGGTATTCAGTCACAACTGCATGTTAGCAGCTTGTGATGATGAGACTAACAGGAGAATTTTTTCACCAGGGGAGACCAAGAGAATTAAGGTAATATTATGAAAACTGGGAGACATATTAACATTTATTAAGTATATTTAACACAAATACATCGTACGGTTAATATGTTACTTTTAAGGTCAGGTCACTGCTGTGGGCCACTCAACACGATGCCTGTAGAGGTCAGGTCACTGCTGTGGGCCACTCAACACGCTGCCTGTAGAGGTCAGGTCACTGCTGTGGGCCACTCAACACTGCCTGTAGAGGTCAGGTCACTGCTGTGGGCCACTCAACATGCTGCTTGTAGAGGTCAGGTCACTGCTGTGGGCCACTCAACACGCTGCCTGTAGAGGTCAGGTCACTGCTGTGGGCCACTCAACATGCTGCCTGTAGAGGTCAGGTCACTGCTGTGGGCCACTCAACATGCTACCTGTAGAGGTCAGGTCACAGTGCATGATGAAGGCCTCAAAAGTAACTAGATACCAATATTTCCTTCGTTCACATGTAAAGAAAAAGCAAACAAACTTTCTTTGTTATGGATAAGTTGTTCATGATCCTTAAAAACAACAAAATCTCCTGAAGTCTTCACTATATTTAAGTACTTGAGGACCACAGATTCGACCCACAAGTTAACACCAAATATTAACGAGTGTTCCAAAAATATTCTAATAAATTAAAAAAAAATAACAACTCAGAATTTATACGGAAAACATTAAAAGATGAATTTATATAGATTTAAAACCAAGATATTTAACTCAATTTATGAAACTAAAACTTTATATTATTGGTGTTAAAATGAATGAGATTTTAACAAGATTTTAAACCAAGTTAAATTTAGATGTCCTTTTGAAAGTTTTCTATTTTAAAAAGCAAATTGACTTCACTAAAACTTAAGAAACTAAACTTAGTGGTTTATAGAAGTTAAATCGGTAAACTAGTCAAGTTACATTCAAAAATATAAAAAGTCAGTGATAAATTACCTTGCCAGTTTGGTGAAGGAACACTAGTTGATACTTCTCGTGTGGAGTGGAGTAATTCTTCAAGGATCTACTTCACAGTGCTCCTCCAGCCTACACTCCACACACACACCTCACACGTTATTCACTTCCTTTCATCTGTCACCAAACTGTTGCCCCAACCAGTTCTCCCTCAACAGTCTGTCCCGTGTATTAAAACATACTGCATAATCTAACCTTCCTCCATGTATGTCGGTAGGTTAGATTAGGTTGAATTACTACTGTTTGTCGTTGTTTATACACCTGTACTGTCATTTTTGGAAGTGAGTGAACCTTATCTCCTTCCATTAACGTTGCTGGGTCCCATAGTGCCCAGGACTTCGTGTCTACCATTAATATCACCAGCACTAGCATCATTAAATAACCACTCACGCATGACATCAATATCTAAACCTTGAGGATTTACATAGATGTTAACAATACATATAGACCTCCCTGGGACGTAGATTTTAACATACTAATTTGAAACCCCATTCTGCTTGTCCGCCATTACCAATTCAACCGGTACATTGTTCCCAACATAAGTTAACAGACCTCTTGTATTATCTATATCATTAGCTGATAAACAGACATTGATAATCACGTAAGGTCCTCGCATCACCATCCTCCGTGCCCGTCTCTTGTAAGGGTATAACATCCACCTTATACAACAGTACATAAACATCTGTGGTCCGAGGAAGTACAGTAAGCTATTTACACTCCATGACTAGACTTAAACTAGTGTCCTCCCTATTAACAGAAACTAACCTTATTCTCTCATTCTGTTCCATTACTTCTTTCACTCGAGCTAATACCTTATGATATACTTCGAGGATGTCACTCCCACTTGAGGGTTATCTCTTCCCTCATGTCCACATTTCCGGTCCCTCGAAGCAAAGATTGTCAGATTCTATAACAGTATTATTCTCAACCTTCTCTCCTCTTAGGTCAACATCCACATTTCTATGTTCGCAAAAATGGAGTTACTTTCTGGTTGTCCTTTACCTTATTTCTAAGCATCTGAATTTCTTGCCTGAGTTGAACTACTACACCAAACACATCACCAAACTTGTCAATTACCTTCTCTTCCTGAACAACTTTTGGTGCAGCTCTTGTACCATTTACTGTTACTTTCAACGCGTCACTCCGTTCCATCCTCTTCTTCCACACGTTCTCAGTTGAAGGTAGAGTTGTCTCACCTGCAACTCCTCCTCCTTCCTCCTTTTCTCACTGTTGCACTTCCCTCAGGCTCTGCCACCGTACATCATGCATCTGCGGCTTCGTATTGCAAATTGAGGAGCCTGCATTATGGGCGCCGCCACAATTGCACCAGCACGGCACAACATGTTGACCAGACTTTAATTTATTCCCACATTATATTGAATTATGATTTTTTCCACAGTAACGAGACCAACATTCACCTTAACATTTCCAGTCCATATGGCCCCACCTGCTGCACTTGTAACACAGAACAGGTCGTTCAATAAACTTTGCAATTCTCCTATATCTTATTCCTGAAATGAATATCTTTTCCGGAACGTCTCCCTTCATCAAGGCGACCACTTGGTTGTTCTCACTCCGGATTCCGTGTAACAGAGGAGAGAATTAACGGCTCCTACTTCACCTCTGCTTCCTGTTGACTGTGGGACTCGGGAGACGTGTGAATGAAGCCTCGACTCCTCCATAATGAACCACTGAACCACCAACTATCCTCGTCCCAGCTTAATAACGTAACAATAACACTATTACTGAACCACAAACGAGAAGAAATAACAACCTTAAGTAATAATAAGTAACCAGTTTACTTAATAAAGGTCAATTACTTATTAGATTACTTAAAATCATCAAGGGGATTCATTTTATATTTCGGATCCTTGGTATTTTGTGGTCCTGGTAGTGACGTCATCAGTGGGAGGACAAATAAAAAATGTTTAGACTATCAATTGGTTATTGTGTTTGTTTGTAGTTGTTAATAGTTTATTTATATAATTATATACGAGGTTTATGATCTAAATCTTGTAAAATGTGAAGTTGTACACACATATACATACACGTGTAGACACTTACACATATACGGAGATGTACACATACACACATACACGTACACAAAACCTAAACACAAACATACCTCACCTCAACACCACTCACCTCACCTCAACACCACTCACCTCACCTCAACACCACTCACCTCACCTCAACACCACTCACCTCTCCTCAACACCACTCACCTCTCCTCAACACCACTCACCTCACCTCAACACCACTCACCTCACCTCAACACCACTCACCTCACCTCAACACCACTCACCTCTCCTCAACACCACTCACCTCTCCTCAACACCACTCACCTCTCCTCAACACCACTCACCTCTCCTCAACACCACAATAATCTAAAACAAGAACGTAAGGAAGAAATTGCTCTAAAAATGTAAATCAATTGAAATTACAAGAAACGATGAAATTACAGGAAGTGGATACAAATGGCTGTCTCGTTCACTAGTAATGGAGTTTGGTCTAGGATGTGAGGGTAATATACTCATACAGACACACATACACACATACGTACAGTACACAGACACACATTCAGTACACACACACGTACGTACATTACCTTAGCAGTAGATTCGAGGTGGTGACCCATGGTAGACGTAAACAGCTTGTCGTCAATATCTGTGGCGTCAAATTCGTTCAAATCCCCACAGAGGTGAGCCCATGGGTACCTTACTCTGAGGTGAATGGTGTGTGAAGGAGTCGACTGTGTGAAGGAGTCGACTGTGTGAAGGAGTCGACTGTGTGAAGGCGTCGACTGTGTGAAGGAGTCGACTGTGTGAAGGAGTCGACTGTGTGAAGGAGTCGACTATGTGAAGGAGTCGACTATGTGAAGGCGTCGACTGTGTGAAGGAGTCGACTGTGTGAAGGAGTCGACTGTGTGAAGGCGTCGACTGTGTGAAGGAGTCGACTGTGTGAAGGAGTCGACTGTGTGAAGGAGTCGACTATGTGAAGGAGTCGACTATGTGAAGGCGTCGACTGTGTGAAGGAGTCGACTGTGTGAAGGAGTCGACTGTGTGAAGGCGTCGACTGTGTGAAGGAGTCGACTATGTGAAGGAGTCGACTATGTGAAGGAGTCGACTATGTGAAGGAGTCGACTGTGTGAAGGCGTCGACTGTGTGAAGGCGTCGACTATGTGAAGGAGTCGACTATGTGAAGGAGTCGACAGCACTGATGGTAGACAACAAGACTAAGGCAGGAACCATAAATAAAACACAGTCGTTTATTATTAAAAACATTGTTTGGGAGTAAAAAAGGCACAATGACAGAAGATTGTCCGCTAGACACATGTTGAATCCTTCTACCGTCAGGGGGTGGGGGGGGGTTGGAGGGAGGGGGTTGGAGGGAGGGGGTGGGGGGTGGTGAGGGGTGACATGCAGAACACGAAAGATCATATTTTTTTTTTACATTCAAGTCCTTTGGTTAACAGTATATACTAAACGGTGTCCATTGATATCATAACAGTGATTTTTTTTTAATAGCTGCTTCAGTCAGCTCCATGAATGTAAATCCATATTTACTTGACTCACTGAACTGATCTGATGCAGCTTTATGACCTGACTTCGGGTCACCCATAGACGGATGACCTGTGACGTAAGAGGAGATATGTCATAAAGGTGTATTATATCATTAATTAAATAAGAACAAATCTCATTAATCTTCATGGCTTTGCTTCGAAGAAATTACTTATTTTTTATTAGAAATAATCAGTTTATATCAATAATTAATTGGAATAAACTTCAGTAATTAAACAGAATAAATCTCAATAATTATCATAGTTTTTTAAAAGTAATTACTCAGTTTATAACACTATTATAAATGGATACCAAACAGCATAATATTTCTCCACTGTTTCTGGGACACTTTTAACCCTAACTAAACACTATTAGACATAACATACACTTCCTTATGATACGTGTGGTGACGTTACACACAACAGTAATCACTTAATGATACGTGTTTACTATTTACCATCCCTCGAGGCTCTCCTATGCTGTGTGGTCGAGCTGTATAGTCACCCCTTAAAATGTCCTTTCTCCTCTCCCTCCCCCGAACCCACGAACCCCAAGATTCAGATTCGTGAACCCGGAGCCGTAGATTGGTATATTATTCTATCTATAATTGCTTCGGACTCGTGAGTTTGAATCTCTTTGGGTTCGTGGGATCAAGAGGAGAGGAGAATGGATTTTTAAGGGTGACTGTTGACCCATACACCTCACCTTAGGTACAAGTGATATGTTGATATATACAAACATTAATTGATTATGTATTAACTCCAGAGTGTCTTATCCATGAATTTTCTAAGGGCTATGATGAGTTGGATGATTAATTTGTCTATCAAGCTGGATTTGTTGTCTGGTCTGATTAGTTTAAGATGTTGTTGTAATGTTGACGTGAGCTGTACAGTAGACGAAGGACCCATGATATAAAGAATCAGTTTTGGGTATAATTTTCTCGTGTTGTCAGAGTGAGGATAAAATGAGAGTTGTTTTACTATGAATGCTCTCTAGTAAAGTCACAAGTTTCCTGTGTAATAAAGCATTCAAGGTGACACAGCCTCCGGAGTTGTCCCACGGGGTGACCAAAACAGTTCACCAGCCGGAGGAAATTGTCTTGTGACTGTGAGACGCAAAATTGCACATGAAGTCAGCAAGAAGTTGTATCCTGACTCAAAAAAATATACACTCCATGGCTGAACTTGTTTCATGCATATCTGACAAGACTAAGTAGAGTGCAGTCCGTGTTATGCCGTCAGATAGAGTCTCTCTGATGAAATTCGCTACGTAAAATACCTCACAAAACTCCCTAAGTGGCAAAAACTTCCAGACAACCACGAGACTTGAAGCAACTTGTTTCCCCAGTCGCTAGGAGAACACAGCACCCAGAGTAGAGTAGGTTTTGTAGTGTGTCTAGTCTCCCACAGCAGCGAGTGATGGTCGTGGTTCCCCCAGATAACATTGGATGAGTTCAAGTTCACACAAGAGCTGCCGTGTGAGGATGTGCTAATTGCTTGGCTCTCCTGACGATTCCTAGGTCAATGACGGGCCGGACGCTCATTCAGAACGAGACGGTCTAAATATAGGCCCCCCTCGTGGGTCTATTTTCCTGTTAGAATGGGACCTATTAAGACTGGGGTCTGCTAAAATAGGGTCTATTGTAATTGGGGCCTGGTAAAATAGGGCCTTTTAAGAGTGGGGCCTGGTAAAATAGGGCCTTTTAAGAGTGGGGCCTAATAAAATAGGGTCTATTATCAATGGAGCCTGCTAGAATAAGGTCTATTATGACTGGGGCCTGTTAGAATGGGTCGTGTTAAGAGTGGGACCTACTAGAGTGGGATCTATTAAGACTGGGGTCTGCTAGAGTGGGTCGTGTTAAGAGTGGGACCTACTAGAGTGGGGTCTATTAAGACTGGGGTCTGCTAGGATGGGGCCTAATCAGACTTGGGCCCCAATTTAACGTTACAATCATTCAGACGCGACACGTAATCACACCAGAACATTTTGATTAGCAAAATATTGATGAAGGAATCCAAGACCCACAGAGGACCCACGGAACCTAACCCACGGGACCCACAGGAACCCACAGGAACCCACAAGGACCCCCACAGGACTCACAGGAACCCAAAGAGCCCATATATCCCAAACACAGAACCCACAAGAACCCACCAGAACCCACAGAACCCACACACATAACCCATGGTAGAGCTATAAGAGTTATGGAGTCATTCAACATATTCATTTCGGCGTTCAGAAATTTGTGATATTTTTTCTGTTCACTTAATTCCGTTAGTTTGATATATGTGTACAGTGAAACTTTTATTTAACGGACTACATGGAGAGTAAAGTCCGTTATATCGAGGGTTCTGTTATGTGGAACCTCCATATAAAGGACTATACGGTGAAGAAAATCCGTTATATCGAGGGTTCCGTTATGTTAAACCCCATCTAACGGATTATATGGAGAGAGAAATCCGTTATATCGAGGGTTCCGTTATGTTAAACTCCATCTAACGGATTATATGGAGAGAGAAGTCCGTTATATAGAGGTTTCACTTTAAATATAATATATATATGTATATAAACCATACCCTTATAAATCTAAATATACATCAATCACTAATATTTATATAATATAAACACAAACATTCTTAACCGAGTAAATTTTATAATATATATTTTCTTATATAACCAACTGATATCTTTCTTATAGTGTGTTAATATTTTAGTATATGTTAATTTTATCCTTTTTCTTCTTTTTTAAACAAATATTTATCGTAATATGAATGAATCTGTGAAATATTAACTGGTAAATAGTCTTAAAATTTTCATAAATGCTTGAATGTTTTGGTTATTCTTTTGTTTTGGTTATTCTTATGTTTTGGTTATTCTTTTGTTTTGGTTATTCTTTTGTTTTGGTTATTCTTTTGTTTTGGTTATTCTTTTGTTTTAAGTATTCATGACGTATTTATATCGTCTATAGCTGATCAAAAAGTCCCTGTGCACTTGCAATAATTAACAATATAGTTATCACTTGTTATATCTACATTATCATATACCTTATTATACTTAAAATAAATAACAGAACTGGCATCCACTCATAAAATTTACAGTGAACATTTCCAATATTGATTTTAAGAAGAATAAAATAAATACCAAAGAAGATATAACAAGGAACAGATATAGTCTCAATTATTACAGATGCACATGGACTTTTCGATCACCATACAAACGAGTATCATGATGGTAGAAAATTACTACGTGTATTATTATATTAAGTCTTATAAACACAAGACTAATTCACAGTACAGAATTTGTGTAGCCTTATACACTACAGTTTGATTCATATATACAAGATTATTTCATACTACAGAAACCCTTAGCATAAAATACATAATTTACAAAATACAAACTAACAGACTAATCAGAAGACTCCCAATGTTATTTATTGTGTATATTAAGTCACACGTAACTGTTCACGCCCAAGATGTTATGTCTGGTAATATTTTCCAAGAATTATATTAAAAATACAGGAAATTTTGTAGTTGAATGTATTAAATCATACAAAATACAGACTCATTGGAAGAGTGTACTAGTGAGCTTACCTATATCTTGTGGTCTTATTGTAGTGATTACAGGTGTGTCGTGACAACAATGTGCTGGTTTGTTCACCTGTGTTCACCTGTGATCACCTGTATTCACCTGTGCTCACTAGTGTTCACCTGTGATAACTTGTGTTCACCTGTGACCGCCTGTGATCACATATGTTCACCTGTGCTCTCTAGTATTCACCTGTGTTCACCTGTGCTCACTAGTATTTACCTGTGTTCACCTGTGCTCACTAGTATTCACCTGTGTTCACCTGTGCTCACTAGTGTTCACCTGTACTCACTAGTGTTCACCTGTGTTCACCTGTGCTCACTGGTATTCATCTGTGTTCACCTCTGATCACCTGTGCTCACTAGTATTCACCTGTGCTCACTAGTATTCACCTGTGCTCACTAGTGTTCACCGGTACTCACTAGTATTCACCTGTGTTTACCTGTACTCACTAGTATTCACCTGTGTTCACCTGTACTCACTAGTATTCACCTGTGTTCACCTGAGGACCCCACTGACAAAGGTAGTAAACGCAATATTAACATCAGGTGACAGAGATCGGCTTCACTTCACGTCCACTAAATCAACATGCACTCAATGGGGAACTGAGTACTCGGGTCCATGTTGTTGAATTCTTCCGGCGTGGGACATTCTGTGGACACGAAGGTAAGAATTAGTTGGGTTTGGGGACATATAAGGAAGAATTAAATGTGTTTGGGACATGTCAGGAAGAATTAGCTGGGTTTTGGGACATGTCAAGAAGAATTAGCTGGGTTTTGGGACATGTCAAGAAGAATTAGCTGGGTTTTGGGACATGTCAAGAAGAATTAGCTGGGTTTTGGGACATGTCAAGAAGAATTAGCTGGGTTTTGGGACATGTCAAGAAGAATTAGCTGGGTTTTGGGACATGTAACTTAAAATTAATTGGGTTTAGGATATAAAATTCGTTATATGGAGATTTCACTATATATACAACGAACAAAAATGATCAGGATGAGACGCAATAGTAAAGACAAGTTCATCAAAGGAATTACAAAGTTAGAAATAGATTGTTGTCAGTGTATAAAACTGTGTGAGGGTAAATACAATTATATTCAGCCAACGGATTCACTATTACACATACCTGGTCGAGAATTTAATGAGAGCTGTGGTGGTGGTGGTGATGGTGGTAGTAATGGTGGTGGTGGTGGTGGTAGTAGTGGTGGTGGTGGTCAGAACTTCTATTGATTTTTTTTTTATTGACGTGGGGTGGGAGTGTTATGTGTGTGTGTGTGTGTGTGTGTGTGTGTGTGTGTGTATTTATCACCCCCCTGATAAGATACGTGGTACCCAGATTGATGGAGACGACTTTCAGTACGACCTCCAACACAGCCTTAAGTACAATCTCCAACACAGCCTTAAGTACGACATCCAACACTAAGAACGACCTCCAGCACTAAGTACGACCTCCAACACCAAGTACGACCTCCAACACCAAGTACGACCTCAAATACCATGTACGACCTCCAACACCAAGTACGACCTCCAACACACAAACTCAAGTTCTGTAAAACACAAAATTGGGTAAATTCGGCTGGGCTCATGTGCAAAATTTACCGAGAGCTGAGCGAGGCGAGGCGAGGCGGGGCCGGTCGACGTTGGGTCTGGCTAATGGAGCCTCGAGGCTGGCGAGAAGTGTTTGGTGTGGCAGATGAGGCAACGGAATAAAAGAAAAAAAAGGTGATATAAACGAAGAACGTGATAAGCCATACTGATAAACGAAGGAAAAGAGAGAGAGAGAGAGAGAGAGAGAGAGAGAGAGAGAGAGAGATTTAACATGAAATTTACTGGAATATAGATTAACTTTAGGGGTTAGGTTAGGAGGTTAGGTTAGATGGGGGTCAGATCAGGTTAGGTGGGGTTAGGTCAGATTAGGTGGGATCTGGTTAGGTAGGGTCTTGTTAGGCGGGGTCAGATCAGGTCAAATTAGGTTAAGTTCGGTTAGGTTAGATTAGGTTAGGTTCTGTTACGTTAGGTTAGATTAGATTAGGTTAGATTACAGAAAATATATAATCTCACATCCATAACATTAGACAAATTTCCTCTACAACATCTGGATAAACTGGATAAAACAAATTGACTGGATAATTCTTCCCTCTCTAAAGATGATCCAAGATTACTGAGTTGTGTGGGGGATGGATTCAGTCGTTCTCTTTGTCTGGAGTAACAAATAGATTGCCAGGCTCAGTCTTACGGGAGATGGAGAGGGGAAGAGACTACAGCGATGATATTTGGGACACTGACGCAAATATTTGAGACTGACGCAAATATATAGGAGACTGACGCAAATATTTAGGACACTGACGCAAATATTTAGGACACTGACGCAAATATTTAGGACACTGACGCAAATATTTAAGACTGATGCAAATATATAGGACACTGACGCAAATATTTGAGACTGATGCAAATATTTAGGACACTGACGCAAATATTTAGGACACTGACGCAAATATTTAAGACTGATGCAAATATTTAGGACATTGACGCAAATATTTGAGACTGATGCAAATATTTAGGACACTGACGCAAATATTTAGGACATTGACGCAAATAAGACTGATGCAAATATTTAAGACTGATGCAAATATTTAGGACATTGACGCAAATATTTGAGACTGATGCAAATATTTAGGACACTGACGCAAATATTTAGGACATTGACGCAAATATTTGAGACTGATGCAAATATTTAAGACTGATGCAAATATTTAGGACACTGAAGATTAAAAAAATAAGACATAGGGACATACATACATTAAACACGCATAAAGATCAAGACACAGGAACACGTACGTCACCTCACAGGATTATTAGGACATTAAGACACATAAGGATTAGGACACAGGAACTCATACGTCACCTCACATGAATATCAGGACATTAAGACACACTTACTCTTATGGCAGACGTGGCCGTAGTACCCAGTGTTGACACAGAGGCACTGGTAGCCCGGGTCTCGGACTATCTGGGAGCACACGCCAGAGTTCTTACAGGGGGTCGATTCGCAAGGGTCCGCCTTCTCGCCCTGTAGGAGAACTCTATCAGATTACTCGTTATTACAACCACTCTGTCTGCCTGTCTTTTTGTATGTCTGTCTGTCTGTTTGTTTCTCTCTGTTTCTTTTCCTGTCTGTCTGTCTGTTTTATTATATATTAAGAAAGGTGACATCCCACTTACCTTCATGACAGGGTTTAACCTCGACTGCTTAAAACGTTTCCACAAATCCATGAGAGAATTAAATCATCTTGTATAGGCTTCAGATTTATCACTATCACCACTACCTCTATCACCACTAATTATCACCACTAATTATCACCATCATTATCACCACTACCACTACCACTATCACAATTACCACTATATAGCGAGGAAACGTCAGTGCAGAAAATAATAAACTTTCAGACATCAAGAAATAGTGAGATACGTGTCAATATCGTGTACAATATTGTAGTGATATTTATAACCTCTGCTGTGTGGCCTCAAGCATCTAGGAGGCCGAAGAGGTCAATATCCTGTGCTGTCAAGGAGGTCGATGGCCTGTTGGTGACCTCAAATAACCTCACCATCATAGTTGTTGTTCATATTCATTAACATTTTGAATATTGTTTAATGTTTACTAATGTTTAACTTTCTGGAAATATTTATGAGTTTCCCGAATAAAAAAAAAATATTTATCCTTTCCTACACGTAAATTTTTTATGAGTTTACTGCTAACATCACAACAAAGAACATTCGAGTTTAAATTAAAAACAAAATAAAAACAAATGAAACAAGTCTCGTTATATAAATCTTTAGTTAATTAATTAATATTCTAAGCCTTTTCACGTTTTTTTTATCACGTTTCTTTTTTTTTTTTTTTAGACTTTGGTGTTTTTTTGCGGCAAGAGTGAACGTGTCTCTCTTCCAAACACAATTCTGCTTTTTGCTAATTTTCCTCGTATTTACAATTCCCAGTCCGCTCCGATAAGCTTTTGTGCCAACGGAAAATACTATCCATTTTTCCCCAACTGTGAGCAAGAGTTTACACTACAGTAAAACCTCTATATAACGAACTTCTATAATATAATCCGTTATAGGGAAATTCACATCTAACGGACCCTCGATATAATGGCTTTTCATCTCTATATACACCTTAATAGACCCTCCATATAACGGAATTAACGGAATTTTCTCTCCATGTCGTCCGTTAAATGGAGGCTTCACACTGTTTCAGAAGCGAAAAATGACAATAAAAATCTTACCAGGTTAATGACCAGGTTTACACTCAGCCTTCTCTAAATATTTACGCATTATTATTATAAACAGGTGAGTCTTTGTTTGTTTGTTTGTTTGTTTGTTTTTACGCCTCATTAACAATACTGATTCGTTCGTTAAAAATAATAATGATTTTGTTGACTAATGAACTCAGTGATCACGAGAATCCACACAACCCCTCCCCCACCCCTGCCCCCACCTAACCTAACCCCCCCCACCCCGCCCCCAACTCCAACCCCCCCTCCACTAACCTCCCCACCCCGCCCCCAACTCTACCCCCCCCACTTCCACTAATCCCTCCCCCCTCCTCCTTTCACTCTCCTCTTCTGCCCATCCTCTTCCTTCTCCCCACTCTCTCCCCACCACCCCACCCTCCCTCCCCCACCCCCACCTCCCAGATTCTCAGATTCTCAGACGGGGTTCGATAATAGTCACGCAGCGAATGAAACTGGTTCATTTTAGGGCCATTTCAATCGGATGAAATTTTCGCCAATGGCCCACTTAAGCCTATTAGGAGGAGGGGGATGACGACACACACCACACACACACACACACACACACACACACACACACACACACACACACACACACACACACACACACACACACGTTCAGGGGTTACATCGGGTGTTCGACTATAGGTGAAGACATCCAGGCGGTGTCCAAGCATTACCTTTTATTTATTTTATTTATTTATTTTTTTTTTTAAAGGTAAGTCCCAAATTGTTAGTTAATGGATGTAAAGGTGTGTAATTACAGGTAGGTTATGTGTGTGTGTGTGTGTGTGTGTGTGTGTGTGTGTGTGTGTGTTCTTTCAGCACTTTTCTGTCATTTTCCAGACATCATCTTTATCATCACCACCACCATCACCATCACCACCATCATCACCACCACCACCATCACCACCACCATCACACCACCACCACCACGTACTGTTCTCTTACACTTTCACCATTCCATCTCATTCCTCTCTCCCTCTTTAGTGCATTTTTCACCCTATCCTTCCATCTCCTCTTCCTCTTCTTCTTCTCCTTCCCTCTCCCTACTACCATCTCCCTGAATTATACTTTCTCTTTTACACACATCATTCGCCACACACAATATTACATCTCCTCCTCCTCCTCTCTTCCCCCTCCCGTCTTCCCCCGCCCTGCCATCACCGGCCCTGGAGATAAATTAGTTTTCCTTCGTTCTTGCGTCAGGTGAAGGCTCCCCCCCAAACTTTGCTGCGCATAAGTTACACATTAGGGAAATGCCAGCACTCAAAGTTGGACTGTTGGGAGTAATTAAGTTGACCGTGTTGGGTTATCATAGACGGAGGAGAGGTTAAAATAATCTATCATTATAACCTAACCTAATCCAACCTAATGTAATGTAATGAAATGTAATGAAATGTAATCTAATCTAATCTAATCTAATCTAACGTATTCTAACATAATCTAGTCAAGACTAATCTAGCCTAACCTAACATAACCCCAATCTATCCTAACCTAACATAACCCCAATCTATCCTAACCTAACATAACCCCAATCTATCCTAACCTAACATAACCCCAATCTATCCTAACCTAACATAACCCCAATCTAACCTAACCTAACATAACCCTAACCTAACCTAACCTAACATAACCCCAATCTAACCTAACCTAAACTATCCTACCACAAACCTAACTTTAATCTACCCTCGCCCTAACCTAACCTTATCTAACCTAATTTAAACCTCTAACCTAACCTACCCGGAACACAAATCAATTGCATTCAGGAACAGAACGTGTCTAGATCGTGGTGTTTACTCTGACCTAAGACATAACCTCAGTTGAGATATGTGAAGAAAAACTGGAAATATTACCAAGAAAAAGAAGTTGTTGATATTGCATTTTATTGGGATGTGTTGGGGTGGGGTGGGGTGGGGTGGGGTGGTGGTAGGTGGGTGGGTGGTAGGGGTGGGGTTTGGCTGGTATGGGGGTGGCTGTGGGTGTGTGGGTTGGTGGGGTGGGCTGGTGGTGGGTGGGGTGGTGGTTTGGTGGAGGGTGGTAAGGGGTGGGTGGGTGGCTCTGTGATGTCTAGGTATTTTTTGATCAACTGAAGTTATTTGTTGCAAGAAATCAAAAAGTTGTGGAGCTGAAGTTTAATGACCCATCAGGATCAACAACAACAACAACAACAACTTGAGGGCTGTCTAACATTTCCCTTGAGGGCCATTTGACACTCCACTTGAGGGCCATCTGATACTCACCTTAAGGGCTATCTGGGGGCCATCTAACATTTCCCTTGAGGGCCATCTGACACATACCTTAAGGGCTATCTGAGGGTCATGTAAGGGCCATCTGACACATACCTTAAGGGCTGAGGATCATGTAAGGGCCATCTGACACTCACCTCAAGGGCCATCTAAGGGCCGTGACACTAACCTTAAGGACCATTTAAGATCCATGTGACACTCACCTCAAGGGCCATCTGAGGGCCATGTGACACTCACCTCAAGGGCCATCTGAGGGCCATGTGACACTCACCTCAAGGGCCATCTGAGGGCCATGTGACATTCACCTCAAGGGCCATCTGAGGGCCATGTGACACTTCCACCTCAAGGCCATCTGAGGCCATGACACTCACCTCAAGGGCCATCTGAGGGCCATGTGACACTCACCTCAAGGGCCATCTGAGGGCCATGTGACACTCACCTCAAGGGCCATCTGAGGGCCATGTGACATTCACCTCAAGGGCCATCTGAGGGCCATGTGACACTCACCTTTAGGGCCGTCTGACACTGGTCGCGGGTGGAGTAGCGGAAAGAGGTGTCACAACCAAGACCACAGACACACGCCCCATCGTCAATCCGGCATCCCTGAACCAGCTGTTCCGGCTCACACGCCCACGCACCACCTGTGGGCGTACAGAGTGCTTCATGATACAGGCAAGAATACAGTAAAATACCTCTATTTAACGGACTGAATGGAGGGAAATCCGTTATATCGATGTGTATGTGAGTGTGAGTTAACATTGAGTATATGTATAGCTATGAAACCCTTATTTAGTATAATATTGTAACTATAACATCATCATCATCGTCATCGTCATCATCATCGTCATCATCATCATCATCGTCATCATCATTAAGTTACACAATATTTCTACCAAAAGGTGACATCATTCCGTGAGTGTTCTGTGTGATATGAATACATTAATAATTGGCATTAGGAGAATCGTATGAATATTCATATATATATACATAAGAGAGAGAGAGAGAGAGAGAGAGAGAGAGAGAGAGAGAGAGAGAGAGAGAGAGAAAATAAATAAAGTGAGGGTTTTTTCCCCAGCTGCCCCTCAGCGTGTGTTCGTCTGGTGAGAGAACACAGAAACTTTCCTCCTCTCTCACTGTTGATGATGGTGAGGACAACCACCATCTTGCAGCAACCAGGTGAGGACAACTATCACCTTGCAGCACCAGGTGAGGACAACTATCACCTTGCAGCACCAGGTGAGGACAACTATCACCTTTGCTCTGGACTCTTCAGACAGACAGACGTTCATGAATTGTTCCAACATGAGAACCTGTCAGAATCCGCCTTAGTCAGTAGCAACAGGAGACGCTACACAGGTAAGAACTCTCTGTTGGTTGGAATATTTGAAGTTGATGTGACGATACTAAAGGCAGTACCAGTCAGACCCAGAGGGAGAATCAAAGGGAGAATCAGTCAGAACCAGAAGCAACCCAGGCAGAACCAGTCATAACCAATCAGGACCAATCAGGACCAAGCAGAATCAGAGGCAGAAGTTATCGTCATAGATAGTACACCACTGGTCGAGACACTATCCTAACCTAACCTAATCTATCCTAACCAAACCAAACCAAACCTAAACTCACCTACATCAAAGACCCGTGTTGTCTACCCCAAGAGAATACCATCACCCCGAAGTGCACTCTGCCCCGCCACGTATAAAAGAAATGACGCTGTGTCTGATGTGTATTGACAGTCGAGTCACAAGTCAGAGGGTGAAAGTCCTACAGGAGGAAGGAATCTGAAGGAGAGTGCCAGGAACCTACCACAGTACCACATTCCTACCACAGCTCCCTGATAGGTGACAGGGACCTACCTAACCCCCTGACAGATGCCAGGAGCCTACCTAACCCCCTGACAGATGCCAGGAGCCTACCTAACCCCCTGATAAATGCCAGGCTACTAACCCCCCTGATAGATTAGAACCCACCTTAACCCCTGATACCAGAACCACCTAACCCCTGATAGACAAAGCAGGAACCTACCAACCCTGATAGATGCCAGAACCCACCTAACCCCTGATAGATGCCAGAACCTACCCAACCCCCTGATAGGATGCCAGGAACCTGGTCTCCAACCCCTGATATGCCAGGAACCTACCAACCCCTGGAGGATGCCAAAACCTACCTAACCCCTGATAGATGCCAGAACCTACCCAACCCCCCCTGATGCCAGAACCCACCTAATCCCCCCTGATAAATGCCAGAACCTGCTTCAAACCCTGACAGATGCCAGGAACTCTACCTAACCCCTGACAAATGCCAGGAACCTACCTAACCCCCTGATAAATGCCAGGAACCTACCTAACCCCCTGATTGATGCCAGGAACCTACCTAACCCCCTGATAAATGCCAAAAACCTACCAAACCCCCTGACAAACTAGAGAGGCTTCCTGCGTCACAACAAGACTCATCTGCTTAGCCTCATCACAGACAACAACACCAAAGTATATAACAAGGAGAGAACATACCACTAACACCCTCACATCTCCCCCCAACACGACGTGGCTCTGTGCACCCAAGAGGAGGAGGTCACCCAGGGAGTCCCTACTGATCAGACACGCAGCGGTGGAGGGGGACAAGACGACCATTACCCAAAGACCTGATGTAGTTGTTGTAGGTTTATCCTGTTACCACTTCAGAGAGCTCAGCCTTGAAAACATGTTGTTGTGTTGTGTTATAGTGTTGTTGTTGTGTTGTGTTGTTGTGTTGTGTTATAGTGCTGTGTGGTGTTGTTGTTTTGTATTGTGTTGTGTTGTGGTAAATGCCAGAGAAAGTTATTGCTTCCCATTCTTCTATGTGTTTAGTGATTGTGAGGTAGAAAGACAGACAGACAGACAGACAGACAGACAGACAGACAGACAGACAGACAGACACAGACAGACAGACAGACAGACAGACACAGACAGACAGAGCCAATCTCTACACCCTATTTACCTCATTACTCAGCCACGTGATATATAATTTACATCCTAATTACTTTTTTTACTAATTAATTTACCTGTTGGTGACTTAATTAATGGTCTAATAAGTGTAAAACACCTGCCCGGTAATTTATTTATGGAATTGACTCGTCCGTGTGTACATTTGGCCTTACTACCGCACTAAAAACTCCTAATGGGGTCCGTTAATGGGTGCTTCAGGGGTCTAATGGGTTGCTTCAGGGGTCTAATGGGTTGCTTCAGGGGTCTGTCCTAATGGGCTGCTTCAGGAGTCTAATGGGTTGCTTCAGGGGTCCGTCCTAATGGGTTGCTTCAGAGGTCTAATGGGTTGCTTCAGAGGTCTAATGGGTTGCTTCAGAGGTCTAATGGGTTGCTTCAGAGGTCCTAATGGGTTGCTTCAGAGGACTAATGGGTTACTTCAGAGGTCCTAGTGGGTTGCTTCAGAGGTCCTAATGGGTTGCTTCAGGGGTCCTAATGGATTGCTTCAGATGACAACTAATGAGTACTTCAGAGGCCAAATATTGAGTACAGTAAAATGGACTCAATATTATAAGCCAAATATTCTCTTGACATTAGTTGACAAATCCAACAGTTTGTCCCAGAATGTGTTGAGTTGTTGAAGAGTTATATTAATGAGTTAACTAATACACCTGGACGTGAGTTATAGCAGTAGGTTAATGAGGTAAATGGTATAATCACTGAACTAGCTATAATTTCGTTTTCCAGGGGATTATATAGTATCGGAACTGTGACCTGAATGACATGAATTTAACCTTTGAGCTTTGGGCCACGTACAGGAAGCAGCTAAGGTCCACAATGTCATTATAAACTAACGATTAAGAGACACTCGGTACATTGGCCCTAATACTGTCCCTCTGATCGTCACTGTGTGTGTGTGTGTGTGTGTGTGTGTGTGTGTGTCGTTCTCACTAACACCACAAGAGCATCAGCACTACATGACCCCACAGACAAGACTACAACACAAGTCTCTCTCCAACCAATGTGAAATATTTATCAGGTTTTATAGTTAATTTGTGTGTCTCTCTCTCTCTCTCTCTCTCTCTCTCTCTCTCTCTCTCTCTCTCTCTCTCTCTCTCTCTCTCTCTCTCTCAGCTGACAAACATAAACAATAACAAAAGGCTATACAATGTGACGTGTTCAATTAAGGACATTAATGTAGGTCGCATCTCTAACAATAATTATAATGTAACAGGAGATAAAATTTATTGGATAGTTTATTTATTTAAAGTATTTTCTGGGTTTTTTTTTTGTCAACATTCATTTATTTACGTTGTATTTGACGCTAGAGGGTTGGTTAGGTTAGGTTAGGTTTGGTTAGGTTTTGGCCACCACCAACCACACAACACCACTCCCATTCCGAGATGCTACTGATCGTTGTCGTCAAAACCCCTCTCCATCATCTCCCCTCCCCTCCACTCCTCCCCCCTCTCAAAAATCGACACAGTTTCCTCTCTTACCGGCAAGATGGGATTGTGTAAGATATGAAATGTGTCTGATTGTGTACCTCCCATGTCTGGAAGGCGGCTCACTCAGGGCCCCTCACAATCATATACCCTCGGCAAATGGCGGTGAAATTTGAAGTCATTTTTTTTCTCCTGGGAGTCTTTACATAATGGTATTGTTTTTATATATATTTTTTTCCTTTTCTCGGATATTTTTGGTTTAAGGATTTGTTTTATGTTCCAATATAGCGGTTTGTTGATATATCTTGAGGGGGGTGGAGGTGGTGTTGTAAATGTTTTGTTTAGTTTGTGTTATTTTATACTTTTTCTTTGGTTTATCTTCAGATTATATCATTCTACTCTACCCTCATCTTCACCCCCACCACACCCCACCCCACCCCACCCTACCCCAACTTTCTCGACTTTTCTTGGAATTATGAATTTAAAAAAGTTATCTGCCAACCCCGAATCTCTCTCTCTCTCTCTCTCTCTCTCTCATGGTAAAAGACAGAGGGAGAGAGAGAGAGAGAGAGAGAGTAGAATACCTTGTGATGAAATTATATCTCTAGAGACAGGTAGTAGAGACAGGTAACAGACAGGTAACAAACAGGTAAATAGACAGGTAACAGAGGGACACAGACCACAGCTAACAGAGGCACAGCTCACAGACACAGCTAACAGAGACACAGCTAACAGAGGGACAACACAACACAGCCAGCGAGCAGAGGGACACAGGACGGGTTTGCAATGTAGGCAACTCGGGCTGCATCCACAAGTTGAAGGGGGAAGTTGTTTGGCCGCAGTTGTGGCCAGGGAGGGAACGGCGAGTCTGTTGTGTCTGTTATTGGCTGTAAACCACAGACACGGAGGCAGACGGACACACAGATACGTACAGACACGGAGGCGAGCAGGCAGGTACAGACACACACACACACACACACACACACACACACATTCAAAAAGAGATCATTTTCATTGCTCACCATCACTACAAGTCACTATTATTCTTACTCATCACTATTATTATCCCATTCACTATCACTCACTCTCATTTATCACTTATTTCACTCATCTTCACTATTAAAACTCACCATTACTCAGTTACTCTATGTAATAACACAGGTATAACAACAAACAGGTATAGTGTCTAATTAACCCAGGTACACAGGGACTTTTCGATCACCAGGTAGGATATTTTGA